GAGAGAGAGAGAGAGAGAGAGAGAGAGAGAACGAACATCCTAAAGGCAATAAGTGGAACATTTATTATCACAAGAACAGAAGAAAGTCATGTTTAAAGGACTCTTGGCACCGCTGGCACAGACTCCTGATGTTCCTCTTTCTTTAAAAGGAAAATTATATTAAAATCATACTCTAATGGTGCTGAATATCTTCCTAAATGCTTCTTTTTCTCTCATTCTTCCTTGGTTGAAGTGTACTGGGATTTATTCACCTTTTAAAAAAGATTTATTTACTTTTACGTTGATGAGTGTTTTGCTTGCATAAATCTATGTGTACTATGTGTATGCAGTACCTACAGAGGCCAAAAGAAGGCATCAGATTCCCCTGGAACTGACAGATGGTTGTGAGCTGCCATGTGGGTTCTGGGAACTGAACTCAGGTCCTTCACAAGACCAGACAATGCTCTTGTGGCTAAGCCTTCTCTCAGCCCCAGTATTTGTTCTCTTCAAAATTAGTTCCTCCTTGATTGATACTGAATTTAAAACTTCTTTGATAAGTCATTTATCAAATATGTTCATAAAACATGTTTCTTCTACTTGGTAGCTCATCTTTTTATTCTTTAGAAAGCATCTTTCTTAGAAGTTTCCAACCTTACCAAAGTTATAACGTATAAAAGCTATTATTTCACTCTAATACCAGCAAGGATTTGATTGCAAGACACTGCAGTTTTAATTGAGCAGCCAGCTGAGAGGTGCAAGAGCTTGGGATTATTAATCAAGGAAAATGGTGGAGAAATATTCTGATTCATGGTAATTGGTGTGCAGAGTGACTGTCATTATCTGAAGGAAACCCCTCAATGCTCCTCAGCTGGACACTAAGTTCTGCAGTGTTAGCCACAGCTGCACCAGCAGGGGCTTTTCTCCCTTACCCACTACTCTGATCTCCTGTACTGGAAATTCATATTCAAAGATAATCTGAAACCACATAGTAAATACTTTGAAAATGTTACTGGATAAACTCTGAAGGCTCTTGGGTATTTGTCTTTCACACTAACACTCTTTAAGTTACAAGTTTCTTCTTTTGTGGCTATAATTGACACTAACCTTAGCAGCAGCAACCAATATTGTCCTGTTGACAAGGTTTCCTAAAAACCCCACTGAAACACAATACTGCAAAACTCCCTTACCTCAAAACCTGTGTTCAATTAGGCTGTAAAAACAGTATGCCAAACACCCCAAAGGCAGGCAAAACGCAGAGCTGCACATGCTATTCCATATGCAGAGCTGTACATGCTATTCTGTATACAGGACCAGAATCTTCAGGCTTTAAACAGCGCTTCAGTGTTCACCATCCTGAGCTTCCAATAAAGGTAGGAGAATCAGAATGAGGTGAGTGTCAGTCTCAAAGGCTGGTTCCTCAGAGATTTCTGGCGCCTCTGTCTACTCTAGAACCACAAGAAAACAGGCAGATCTCCAGGCAAGCTGCTGTGCTCAAGAGAGGGATGACAAATGTGGGTCAAGCCTGAAGCTCCCAGTGAAACCCTTTTCCTGACCACAGCGACCTGTCAGCCAGCCAGCATCTCTCACTCTTGCAAGAAGTCCTGGTGCAGCGCAGCACCCATCTGGACCCACACCTGAAAGTGAGTCTCTGAGGGTAGGTGGGAGGAAAAGGATTGGATTTGATGGTGGGTGGGAATATGGAGTTTGGACAGAAAGTAGAGAAAGTTAAGTAATTCTCATCTGGATTGACTGAATAAAGGTTAGGGACCCTAAAAAAGTTTTTTAAAAGATTCTGCTTTGGGTTTTGGGATACATGGCCATGCACAAGGACTTGGGCCAGGGCCTAGACAACAAAACAACACAAACAACCAATAACACTATCTAATGATTATGAACTGGGAAAGAAAAATTCATCATGTAGTTAGGCTGGCCTGGAACTCACTGTGTACACGGATGACTCCAAACTGATCTTCCTGCCTCTACTACTCTGTGTGCCCTGGTGTGGTATAATGGGGATTAATCCCATTGTAATGAAGGCAAGAACCCCACATGCTGATCTCTTCCACCTCATTTTAAAATTACATCTGTAAATTCTGATTCTGGTGCTAGCACAACCCACTTTCTCTCAGCAGGCCACTCCTTGGGTAAAAGGACAGAGGGCCAGCACAGTGTGAGGATGGACACAGCAAGGCAGATATTTGCTATAAATGCTTAGACACACACACACACACACACACACACACACACACACACACGGAAGCCATCACTGAAATCAGGCTGCTTGGTGTAAGCCTAGCACCTCACAGTCAGAAAGTCACTGAGTACTTGAGGTGAACAGGAACCTCCCACTCCCATCACACACACTTAGAACTCAGTCACAAGTAAACTCTGCATGGAAAGACTCCCCAAAAACTGAAGAGTAATGGCAGGTACATTCAATGCAACCAAACAGAATGAACTGCACAGGTGGAGGACAGTGTTGAAATGTATTGCGAGTGTGGGAGTTTGATTGAGAAATGTCCTACACAGGCTTAGGTATTGGGTCACTTGGTCCCCTACTGGTGGTGTTGTTTGGGGAGTTATGGAACTATTAGGAGATACAGACTCCATTGACAGCTGCTTTCTTCTCAGATCTGCCTCCTCTACAATTTGGGTTTCCCATGTGGTCATTGTGGCTCCTTATCCCAGAATGACATTTTATCAGCAGGCCCCATAATGTTTCTTAGATCAACTTTCTAAAATGAACTGACTGGCCTAGATTGTCTTTTAAATGAAAAAACACACAGGTCTGCATTTGGGGGCTGGCATCTCTGGTCCATATTCCATCCTCCACCTATGGGATGCTTCCTGGAATCTTGTTTGATAGTCTGAAAGAAAGGTAGTGTCGGGAGCCATGGGGGAAATCTAGCTAGGGACCAAGTGTCCTTGAGGCAGGTACCCATCAGTGGTCCATGCATGAGGCCACAGAGGATCAGTAGTGCTTAGAGACATCAAGTTTCTGTATGATCATATGCAACACAACAACATCCACCCCAGAGTGGCATATGGGCTTTCTATTGTATGTGTACACAATAACCCCAATGGTAGCTTTAAACTCCAGTTATCATCTTACACCTGGAATCTGACATCTAGAATGAACTTGGTCTGTACTGTATTAAAGTTAAGAAATTAGTAAGGCTATGTTTCCTTGGGAGATCTCCAGAGAGTCTACTCCTCTCCCTTTAGGTCCTAAGGCCTGCTTGTGTGCCACCTTCAAAGGCAGTAGTAGCTGCTGAGCCATTCCAGTAGGATACACTCCCACACCAATTCTTCTACTGCCCTCTGCCACATTTGCAGAAATCCCATGATCCGTGACTTCCTCGGCCCAGGAAATATCTTTCTTCAAAGGTCAGGTACTTTATGAATGTTCCCTTATGTGTAATTAACATAGTACAGGTTTAAAGCACAGGGGCACGGACGGCTACATCTGGAGGGGCTTGTGGGAATATACCTATTGCAGGAGCTTCTGCAGCAAAACACTTGGGGAAGCCAGTTACATGGGACTATGTAAAAGCAGGTAGAATAAACCTGATTAATAGAACATTCTGTTGAATATCACAGTTCACTAGGTAACCTGGTTATTAAATTTTTAAGTTTAAGTCAGTTGGCATTACTTATATTTTGTGTCAACAGACATTTTAGCTACTAGCAAGAAAGCGAACTTGCAAAAAACAAAAGCAAAGAGAAATGTGTGCATCTATCAATAACTTGAAAGAGATTTTTTTTCTGTAATTATATAAATTTATATATTGCATGAACAACCACTAATCCAAAATCAACAGTAGTTAGTTTAGCTTTCAAGGGAAATCCATTCCAAAATGCATGGTAATTCATTTCCAAGTGACAGTTTCCTTTTCCAAAATTTACAAATCTCCTTAAAAGATATCAATATCAAATATAATCCTTTTAAAGAAATAGTTATCTGCAATGGTTCTTCTAAAAAATAAATACATAAAAGCACTTGAGTCTCTCTCGCTCCCCCCCCCACACACACACTCACTCAAAAACACACTCACTCATAAACACACTCACACACACACTTATAAACACACTAACACATATATACACATTCATACATATTCTCTCATATACATATACACTGATATAATACACACACTCACACACAATTCACATACACACTAACCTACATACACACACTCATACACATCTACCTTCTGTGTTTAAGACTACCTGAATATAGAATTTCATAGAGACTTTCCAGCTATTACTAGTTTGTACAGTGTTAAGTGTGAAAATCCGTCACCACTGAGAGGAATGGAGGCAAAGTGAGAAAACAGGGTCAGGATAAAGTCAAAGTAGAAAAAAAATACAATTTCAAACAGAATTGAAGAAAAAAAGCCTTTTCATGCTTCTCTGAATTCTTAAAAGAACATCCCTTGGGTATTTAATGTTGACCTTTATTGACAATGAGATCTTTTCTTATGGCTGTAGCTGCTGTCAGTCAACTACATATATGTATAACATATATAATATATATCCAGTAATCAGCTTACCTGTTATTTTCTATTTGGAATTGGGCCAATATTTGTTGAACATCAACTGTATACAAGGTACACTGTGGACGCTAACTACTTTTCAACCTAACAGGCTAAAAAAAGAAAAGACCCTTGGTCCTGTCAAATTTAATAAGACAGTTTTGCTAAGAAAAAATTCAATCCACTATCAACTTAACTTTAAAAGGCATTAAAAATGGACACATTGTGAAGTCTACAGATCTGGTCCTAACAGACATCTTGTGAAGTCTACACATCTGGTCCTCTCTAGCAATGTGGAGGCTCCTATTTTCATGATGACAACTTTAAATGCAGAGTCAGGTATCAGCAGCCTAGGGCAGGGAGTCATTGGCCATGGCAGATGGAGAAAGATGCTTTTCTTCACATTTGACAATGAGTAAAAGTCCACTGGGTACAGTTTAGTCTGTAAAATACCGCCCGAAGCCAGGGGAAACAGAGGGGACTTACTCAGACTGCTTAGCTGGCGGATGATAGCAGCGAGTGTGCTGTTGGTCACACATTCAAGCTCACTGGTGATTCCTTCCGGCAGTGCGCCCCGGCACAGGTGCCGGGGCTCGATGTTCCTCTTCACTAAAGGCATGGCTAACAATCTGAAAATTAAATAGATGTCCATAGTCATATATACATAGACACATACTTATACATACATACATACATATACACACACACATAGATAGATGATAGATAGATAGATAGATAGATAGATAGATAGATAGATAGATAGATAGATAGATAGACAGGGATAGAGAGAGAGAGAGATGGATAGTGTCCATTCCCAAGAAAATTGCTTAAATGAGACCATGACACACACACATAGATAGATGATAGATAGATAGATAGATAGATAGATAGATAGATAGATAGATAGGGATAGAGAGAGAAAGAGATGGATAGTGTCCATTCCCAAGAAAATTGCTTAAATGAGACCATGACACACACACACACACACTCTCAATAGATAGATAGATAGATAGATAGATAGATAGATAGATAGATAGATAGATAGTGTGTGTGTCATGGTCTCATTTAAACAATTTTTTTGGGAATGGATACTTGGTCAGGAATTTCAATTAGCCTTTCATTCCTGTGTGAAAGGGTTGTCTGGAAGGTGATGCATGTTCAAATGCCTTAAAACTTCAGAGATTTCAGATATATGTAGAATTCTATTTTAAGAGAAGAATACTCTCTAGTTCTAGGTATGTGTGAGAGACTGAACAGGTGAATCCTGCCCTCACTCTCCACTAAAATGACGGGAGACAGAAAAAGAAAAGGGCCAAAAAAATAATAATAATTAAAGCAGGGCATAATGGTGCACATCTATAATCCCAACACTCAAGAGGCAGAAGCAAGTGAATCTGTATGAGTTTGAGGCCAGCCTGGTCTACATAGTGAGTCCTGGTCAGCCAAGGCTACACAGTGAGACCTTGTCTCAAAAACAAATATCCCATAATTATTAGTTATAACAAAATATATACAAAATGCACTATACATCTCTCACAAATGTTTAAAGATGTCTCAAAGTGCTTAAGTAATTATCACTGGGTGGAGACGCAGGGACTACAAGCATCTGAGAATGTCTATAAATCTCTCTTTCTGGTTACAGCTCCTTTCTCACTCCCTGTAACCAAGTGTCTGGCAGGTGTCCCCTGTACATTCTGTAGACTTTACCACCTATGCATGAAGCCTCTAATCATATGGTTTAGTTTTTGACAAAGTTTGGTATAACTGGAGTCATACCAAATCTTGTGGGCTTTCTTTCAATATAAGGTTTGTACTATTATCAAAGTGGGTATATGTTGGTTTTCATTGTTTTATAACATACAGGAAGGAAATCATGACGGGTTCTAGAAACCTAGCATTTTCCAGGAACTGATGAGGTCATGGACCTTAGAAAAGAGTCTACAACCACCATGGCTAGACCAGCGTAATTCCCTAGTACTTTCTAAATCTTATCTTTATATCACAGCTAAGTGTAGCTTCCACCCCTCATGCAAGAAGCTTCTCCTTACAGCAAACAGAGACCATCACAGAAAACCATAACTGGACAGAGTATAGATATCAACAGATTGTGGGGAGCTCAGCTCTAATAGACACACAGAAGTCCTGAGTCCATGGCTCAGGGAACATTGAAGAAGAAGGGCCAGAAAGACAGCAAGAGTCAACACACCAAGAAGTCCACTGTGAAACAGGCTCTTCTGGAAATGGCTACATTAACAAAGTTGGAACAATGACAACATCAACGGCCATGGCAACAGAGAGGGGGTGGGCAATTTTGCAGTCTCTACTCTAGAGCTACAGGTAACTATTTACCTCTGGAACAAGAATTAGCCTCTTGCAGGGATGAGACCCCTTATTGGTTGTCCAGTACAGAATGGTCAGCCTTGGAATCATATACACACCACCAATAAAAATGGACTCAGTAGTATGTATATATATGTATATATTCTATACACACACACACATATATATTTTATATATACGTATATATCAAATCAAATAAAAGGAGGCTATCAACGAGAGTTAGGGGCACGGGAAGAGTTGGGGAGGGTATCTGAGAAGGGAGGGCTGGAGGAAGGAAAGGGGGAAATTATATAATTCTATTTTAATTTAAAACACCTTTTTAAAATTAAAAAGTACTATAGCATTCATTTTTATGGATTTTAATATTTCTATGGAGTATCCAGAAATATTTGTGTATATTCATAAAAATACACTGCATATTACTCTTTGCTATAGAATATTTCTTGTTATACACCAGAAATGCCTGTGCCACAATTGACTTACCCATTCTACTGGTGAATGCCTTTGAGCCATTTTAAGTTTGAGTCAGTTATAAAGAATGCTTCTTTGAAAAACCTAAACACACACACACACACACACACACACACACACACACACACACACCAACTGTTGGGTTTCTAATGACCCTCAGAGACCCAAATATAATATAGTCCTAGTCTCTGAGCAATGCCCTGAGGAGAGAGTAGAAACTTTAAGAGTTGGTCCGGGACTCAGGTCAAGGCAGGAGTGAGTGCCACCGGAGGCTGGCAGGCCTTAGTCACTTCCCACTTTTGGGTCTTAGTAATGACGTGAGCAGCTCTTCCCACTTCTGTCTGCAACATGTTACCTCACCAGAGGCCCAGCACAACAGTCTGACCAGCTATGGGACGGAACCACTACACCCTGAGCTAAATCAGCCTTCTTCTTGAAATGACTAACCCAGGCACTGTGTAACACACTGAAAAAAAGCTGACAAATACAGAACTAAGAGTGAAAGTGAAAAGTGGTCATGAGTCTATAGACATAATACCGATGAACAGAAAAGGCTGTCCTAGACTACAAACATGAAGAACTAGAAAGCACATGCTTGAGAATCAGAGGCACCAGAAAGGAGAGAAATGAGAATGGAATACAAGAAAATAAGAAGAATGTCCTTTTAAAAACTCCTTCTTCCCTGCTGGGATTCCCTCTTCCACCCCACTCAGCATGACACTGGCCACAGCAAGGACAGGGCTGAGAAATGCAGAGGAGGATTAGAGCAGCCATCTTCACTGACTGGAACACTACTGCTCTGGAAACTCCCTACCAAAAACAAGAACACTCCTCCCTGGGAATGTATGGGGGTAAATCTATAAACACTGACCCTAGAGAGGAGAGTGTCTCCCTACTAAAATGTCAGACAGTTCACCCTACCGTAACACTCGTCAATAGTCTGCCAGGCACACAACATTCAACCAGCTTTCAGAGCTTCAGATTTCAATACAGGGCAATCATAGCAGGAAAGAGGTTCTCAATAGAATTCATTTTTACATGTTCACCCCCTCAAATATATACATTTTAAACTAAAGAACTGCTCTCCCAAGAAGAGATAGGATTCTTTTCCTTTAAAATGATTTTTTTTCAAATGTTTTATTTCATGTGCATGAGTGTTTGCCTGTATGTCAGTAGATATACCTTGTGTGTGCAGTGCCCTCAGAGACCAGAAGGGGGCACTAGACCTGGAGTTATAGGCAGTTGTGAGCCATCATATGGGTATATAAGGATTGAACCTAGTCCTCTGGAAGAGCAGCCAGTGCTCAGCTGCTGAGCTGTGTTTCCAGATCCAACACACGCATTATAAGTGCAACTAGAACCCCACACTCATTGAGGTTTGTGAGTATCATTTTACTCCTTATGGAACACAAGAAAATACAATGACTGAGGTGAATTTTCAACCTCACAAGCTTCCCCCTCTTGCCCAGCTTTCATGAAGAGATGGCAGTACCTACATGAATCTTGTTAGCCATCAAATCCCTGACACACCAATCTGAAATTTCTATGGCATTAGGGAAGTTAATAATCTATGTTTAAGGCCACATAGTTTTCTGTTACCTGAAGCAAAACCTACTGTCAACCAATACAGTAACTGAATGGCAAGCTACAAGGACAGAAGCTGGGAAGGTGTAAGCATGAACCAATCCTTGCTTCTCTTCCTCCTCTCTTCATGATTGAGGGTCCACTGACTCTAAAACAAGTAACTTACTGATATCCTGTCTGGTACCCACCAGCATCCAAGCTGCTGAAGATGCAGCAGTGGGGGAAGATGAGCCCTGTCTGGAGAGGTCTTCTTCCAGCCTAGTTTTAGCAGACAAGGGAATTAATGACAGACCAAGGATACCACCAAAGTCCAGCTCAGTGAACCAATGAGCTTACTGATGTTTCCAAGAAGAGTAGAAGTGACCCAGATAGAAGTTTCACCAAAGCCCATCCCAACCTGTGCCACAGCTCACAGAAGCTGGGACCCCACAGCTCTCTGCATAAGCAGCAGCGGAAGTCTCTGACCTGCTGGCTAGCTCTCATGGTGTCAGAAGGTACAAGGCAAGCTGCTGGCCGCCAATCGTTCTACTGAGCTATGAACTCAACCGGCTACAATAATGCTTGCTGATGCAAGAGTGGCGTGACTTTATTGGAGGATCAACTGCTCTCTATTTGGACATGAGGCCATTTCCATAGGAGGGAACTAAGTACTGTACTCTACTTGTACTGTAAACCTGGTCAAGAGCCTGTAGCTAGTAATGTCAGAGGCTTAGGAGAAAACCTACAACTGCCAGGCTGCTAAATGGACATGATATCAAACAGCTTTCTAAATATTCATTTATACTCACAGATCGGTCCTGCTCTCAGCCCCCACCAGAGAAGGTTCCTTTTTGCAATGAACAGTGGTGAACACAGAGACTTATAACTCATCAAAGTGCTGAGAGCAAGTGACTGTGGTCCTACACGAGATATCGATATCACCCCCAAAAGGCTCAGAGAACATCACAGAAGATGGGGCAAAGGAGTCTAAGAGTCCAAGGTTAAGGAAGAGTGATGGATGCAAAACATGTCCTAGTCATGACGTGGCCACTGTACTCGTGAGCTCCCTGCACCTGTGGTTACCTGCATAGAGCCTGCACAGGGCTGAGCTAGTTGCCATTTCATCATGCTCAGGGGAGGAGCCAATGAGGCCCCATCCCTCATGGAGGGACAATGGGTAGTTAATGGGTGCTGGGGTGGAATGGTGGCATAGTCTGTAATGTTGTAGCCACAGATAAGCTGCCTATGTTTCAGT